TTTCAAAACCCGCGATTTCTTTTTGGATCGTCGTCCCGTCGCGATTCCGGTTGCGACAGGCATGTTCTGGTTGGTTTATTTGGTGTGCAAAGGATTTGGACATGTGGCATGATCTAGTGGAGTCTGATTTAGGAGGGGTAGGCATAGGAAATTTTAGGGGTTGTAGGAGAAAATGCTTAGTGTTGGGCTTGGTTGTTTGGTCTGTTTCACAAAAATAGGAGTGTATGTAGGGAAATTTAGGAGGTGCAAGGGTAAAGTCTGCGTGTTGGCCCATTTGTACATTATTTTTCAAATAAAAGCTGGTTTTGGGCCTTAATTTGCAATTTGGACCAATTAAACTTTAATTTCAGCTGAACAAATAAACATTAGAACATCCAAGAATACTTTATGTGCTAAAACTAACTTTTTACATCTCTTTAATTCCCAAACTCAACAATTTCAATCATCACAAATCCACTTAAAATCAACCATTTAAGCACAATTATCTCATCAAAAATTTGAATTTTAAAACATAAATGTGGGCATAAATATGCACTCATCAGTCATGCATCAAGGTCTTGTTACTATAGAAATATTGGTGTACCCAAGGGCAAGTTTAAATGGATTCCTAAGGAATCACTAAAACCTCCTAACATAAAAGGACCTAAATTCAATTGGGTACCTGCATCCGAACCTTTAAATTATTTTGCATGAAAGTAAGAGGAATTGAAAATGACTATGCTCAAGGTAATGTACAAAGTTGAAGCATATCTCACAATTTAAAGTGCTCATGACATCTTAAGAGACATCAAAAGTGGTAACAAGCTTTAGCATTGGTAAAACATTCATATTTTCTATTTTGCATAAACATGTTGTTTGGTATCATATGTACTTTGTGTTAGATACCAGTAGGATGTATGAAAACCTCAAGAATGACAAATTCTGCATAATTTAATCGATTAGATAAAGACCCTGATCAATTATGTGCTTTTCTCTATTTTGTTGAAAATAAGGGCCTGTCATTGATTTAATCGATTACATTAAGAATGTAATCGATTAAAACAACTCCAGCAAGGACATTTCTGATTTAAATAGGTTTCTAACTTCTTCTAATCAATTAGACTGAACCCTAATCAATTAAGATGTTCTTTCTACTTTCGCTCTTAGAAACCTAAGATTCAAACTCATCTTTTGTCCAAATCTATTGAAACCTTAATCACCATCTTGACTCTCAAACCAACAATCCTTCTTCTACCATATACATCACACTTACCCTCTGCAAAAACATGGTCTCCACCTCCAAATGCACAAAGAGGGCTACTCCCAAAGTGAGATCAGCAAGTCCCACTAGGTGGATAAGTGATAATGAAGCCCAAACAAATTTCGTATGCTTTTGGAGCATTCGAAAAATCATATCTCACAAATACACAGGGATAAATTTCTTTCGTAGAGAAGGGTTCATCTTCCAGGACTAGTTGAAGTACCAAGGGTTGGCAAACTTTGTGGAAATGTTTGGTGATTGATACCCTGATTTTGGAAAAATGTTTTATGAAAATTTAAAAGTTACTGATGGTATATTGTGTTCTAGAGTAAAAGGTGTAAACATTATATTAGATGAAGACGTTTGGACATCCCTTGCTAGCTTTCGTCCAAGAGGTTATAAGTCTCATCTAAGAATACTTGGGGTAAATAATCTGGCTATATACAAAGCATGTTTAAGGAACCCTGAAGTGCCTAAAGATTATACTGTATAGAGTTGTAGGATTGAAAATATATGATAGTCTATGTGCATTCATAATAGCATGGATTCTACTTCCTAGGAGGAGCAGCCATGCTCAATTGACCACATAAGACATTTATCTGGTTCATGCTCTGAAACGAAGACTCCAAACTAACTAGGTTGTAGCTGTCTCTGATAATATGATCAAGGTCACAACACATAATATGACTTGTCTTCCATATGTTGTTTTTCTATCAAAAGTTATGTGCCATTACAATGTTGACCTCATAGACGAAGTAACAAGAAGTTGTAACAAGATCAATCTCATCTTCCAGCTTGCTTTATGGGACTACAAAAATGTGAAACTGGATGGGCCTTCAAGGACGAACATTAAACAATTGAAGGAGAAGATTTGGAGCCACTTAATGTGGATGCTTCAAATGCTGGACCTGCTTCAAATGCTTTCAAACCCATAACTGATTTTGAAAGATACATGGTTAATCAAATGCAACTTCACATTGCTAGGTTTGATAAAATTGAAATATCAATTACAAAAATTCAGCAAAAACTAAATAATCAAAACCTATATGATGAAGATGAAGAAGATGGAAACATTTGGACTAATAGTGAAGAGGGTATGGAAGAAGAAGACTTTGTGAACATTTCAGATTATAATAACTTTTCATTCAAATCATTTGTTTTTTTTTGGGAAATCTGTAATACTCAAAACTTAAGGCTCTAGACTTTAATGCTTTAGTTTTTGGCGTGTTAGCTAAATAGGTGCTTGTTTTTATTATCCGCACTTTTATTCTGAACAATACTCCATATTTTTGTATTTTAATTATGTTGTTGGTTGATTATATATATATATATATATATATATATATATATCCAATAATTTGTACTTTAAACGTTTGGAAATTGTTTTTGGTTGATATTGATTGATTCAAATGTCCAAATCTGAATGTATGATTGAATTGCTCTATGATTAACAATTGAGTTTACTTCAGATTACTAGAAATCTGAATATGTAGGAATCAAGCTCTATGGTACCAAATTGATTTTATTATGGCATATTGATATGATATTTGATGCTGTGAAATTGATAATGAATCTATGTTCATTATCTTTTAATGTTTTGAAATTGATATTTTATCCATGATTGATAGAATAAACAAATATACAACATTCTATTGAATACTGGCCCCATATGGTATAAAGAACATGTTTCTGCAGGTTTAAATCCAAGTAACAAAGACTCTGTTATCAATATGCTCTGTTTATACAATGATGCAGATTTTTAATCGATTAAGCAAAAAGTATAATCGATTAGATGATCACTTCTAGTTAAATATGCATTTAATTACCATATCTGATATGATGTATAAGTCTGAATGGTCATTGTATATGTGTTTTAAGTACAATGCACATTATATGCTTCATCCCATTCAAATTCACATTGAATTCCATTATGCATAAACATATGTGCATCATTTTGATTCAAATCAAGTACTTTTAATTTTGCCGCATAACTCTGTTAATATGTATCATCTTTTGTTGCATGATAACTAGCATTTTAGTTATAATACTCTGTGCTTAAATTTTAAAATTATACTTGATTTGAGTATTGAAAAATATACTTGATATGCTTATGATTTACAATCTTTAGCAATTGATATCTTTGCAATATCATATATGTTTAAGCAATTATGTTATGATACATGCACAAAATGTAAAAGATTTATTCACTGTGACTATAATTTATTGAAATAACATTTCATCACTGAAAAATATATTGTTTATCTTGGTTTAGATCATTGAATTGTCATTTTCTATCAATTGATATTGGAGCATTGCTTTTGCAGTGAGAGCTTGTACAACTATGGTAAGACATAAAACTTTATGAAACATTATAGGAATGTGTTCTTATTTCATAATGTCTTTCTGATCCTCGTGCAATGCTTTTAAGTAGATATTGGTATTCTTAATATCTATACAAATAAAGAGATGAAAAAACATAGCACACAAAGTGTAGTACATACATTCATTTAATGTTTTATACGTTGATAGAGTGTTGAAGCATGATTCGTAATATAAACGTTTATCGAAAGTCTGAGCTTTTTCAAAATAGTAAAAATAATAAGATATATAACATTTATTACTTTCACTAGACATACTTTTGTCAAATATTGTTTATCCTTTTATAATTGGGTTAAATATGTTTTTAGTCCCTAAACTATTGGCCGTTTCTGGTTTTCGTCCCTCTTTCTTTCAAAGTAAGGTACAATTTGGTCCTCATTCTTTTCGAAACGTTCATTTTAGTCCTCGGAACTTTGGTTTTAGTCCTCATTTTGTTGCTAAATGAGGACCAACTTTTTAAACAGTGTTAGTTTTCGAGGACTAAAACGAGCGTTTTCGAAAAGAATGAGGACCAAATTGTACCTTACTTTGAAAGAGGGACGAAAACCAGAAACGGCCAATAGTTTAGGGACTAAAAACATATTTAACCCTTTATAATTGGCACATCACTATTTATATTACAAGCATTTAATAAAGATATTTTGATATGCACTTGCTTAAACATTATACTTCACTAAACGATATTTTGTTAAATATTGTTAGTTAAATTTCAAAACTTGAATTTTTAGACAATATACTCTCTCTAGACGATTTTGTCCAAACAAAATCTTGAACTTCAATTAAACAGACTTTTCTATATTCGAATTTTGTTTTATTATTCATTAACCAATATATGTTTTTGCAAAAATATGTTTAATAAAAAAAATGAGAATTGATAAGTAAAAGGACATGTTAATACGTGAGCCAATTTTATATTATTCAAAATTAATATTTAATAATATTTTATTTTTCAACTAATTTGTTTAGGATAAGTAATGTTTATTTAGTTTTTAAAAAAGTTAAAACATGAGAGGAAAATAAAAAATAAAACATATGTTAAGAACTTTTATTTATCCATAAAGTCTTACTTGTCTCGAATAAAATTCTTTTTGATAAAAAAAATACAAGTTGTAGTGTAAATTAAAAAAAATAAATTTCACAAAATTAGTGGAACCTTACAAAGAGTGAGTATTTCCTTTGCTCTCTCGTTGATTCCAGTTTAAAATCGATTTTAGTACAAAAGTGAAAAAAAGCTCCCGGCGAGGATCGAACTCGCGACCTTTCGCTTACGAAGCGAACGCACTACCACTATGCTACGGAAGCTGATTTTATTATAATTGAATATTTTAAATATTAATATTACTAAAGTCAAAGTAGACTCTGTCAAAACCCTACGTAAAACCACCTTACTCTGACCTGCTGCCAGAATAGAGAAGACGAGATGTGCGGAATAGCGTTGATTGTCTCAGGCATTCGTATTGACACCTCATGGTTGCCCTTCGATTCAACAAGCTCAACTCGGAAAACCGAGAAAGTAAGTGCAACTCTTACTCTTTGAATCCATCAAAAACTCTAAATCAAGTGGTTATAGCAATTCGTACCATTTCCTTTTATCTGCCACAGTTGTTGTTCTCTTTGGATGATCTCAAAGCAGCTCTGCGGAGAAGAGGCCCCGATAGCGTGTGCGCCAAGAAACTTATTCTCCAATCCGAGGAAAATCTAATTTCATCCTTCATGGATGATGGCGTGTCATCTTCCGAACGCGACAACGCCGATGGCATCCACACCGCGAAGCTTCATTTCTTCGGTGCAACCTTGCAGCTCAGGGGAATTAATCCGCTTATTCAGCCACTGGTGGATGCGTCAGGGAATGTTCTCGTGTATAACGGTATTCTGTGCTACTTTCTGTCCCTCGTTTTTTTCTTCTTCTTTTAGTCATTCTGGTTTTAATTTCTACTTTGCTTTTCAGGTGAGATTTTCGGTGGATTTGACCTGGAAAGTGATTGCAACGATACTGAGTTTCTCATGCGGACTCTAGGGGAGTGTTGTTCCTGTGGTTCTTGTTCAGCTGGTCAATGTGTTGAATGTGGAAAAAGTACAGTTTTGGGTGTTCTTTCAGCAATTAAAGGGCCTTGGGCTATCATTTATTGGCAGGTAACACCCAGTGGTAAGTTTCTTTGTATTTGAATCTTTTGCGGCATGATTTTCGCGGACATTGTGTCAGAGGCGGTGCTTTCTTTGTCTGCTATAGGATAGCTCCAGGACTCTTTGGTTTGGTCGGGATGGGTTCGGTCGGCGGAGCCTTCTCGTTCACTGGCCCACGGAAGATGACTCAACCTTTCTGCTTTCTTCCGTTTCACCTGTTTCGCCAGTTCAGTTTGCCCCTGGTAAGAATACCCGAAACAGCTATAATTATCTTGCTTCTGAACAGTCTATTGTCGGTTAGTTAAGTATTGACCATTTTTGTAATTTAGTGATGGTGGGAAGGTATTGTAAACTATGCACTCAGTCTGGTCTTGTTCTAATAGAGGGATGTGCCATTATGAAAGGCGTGCAGGAAAGAGAATGTGCTCTTTATATGGTGCTGCCGGATGACTCCTGCTTCTTCTTTCAATATTGTTGATACTGGTTCTAAACAGATAGAAAATGCCAGTAAAGATAAAACTATGTTCTCACAGGAAGAAGATAAAATAATATGGAAGAACTGCCAAAGTGCTTCCTGCCAATAAGTGCCCAGAGATCAACATCCTTTCTACTCGTTCTTTGTCTTTACTGCCCTATGTTCTGGTCCTCTTACCCCGATCCATCCTTGCCTAGTGCTGCTGTCTGTCCGTTTTGTTACATTCCAATACATTGTCATTGTCAACCACCTTTTCTTACGTCGTCTTTGACAAGCATTGTCTTCTTGCTCTTTATGATCTTTTTACTATCCACTCACGTATCTCCTTTAATATACACGTTTAGTCAGGCCTGTAACAACATAAGCTCACCATTTGATTTGATTGAGCCTAATACCTGTTTGATAACTTTGGAACAATAATTTATTTCATTGAAAATTAAAAGACAACGGATGAAAGTCTTTTAAAAATGATAAATATCACTTCTTGAAATGTTTTTTCTTCTCCCACTTTCTCATGTATGATTTTAGTTTTAGTTGTCAACAACCAAATCTGCTTAAAGCTTAAGCTGTGATTTAGGTTCCTGATTGATTTTATATCTGTAATATCTATTTATAGAGTACCTTTATGCTCGTAATAGATTATTTGACCTTTCTTACTAGCATAGTTGTAAACCTGGGCTAGTGGCTAGGTCACTCTTTGATTACTGGTCTGACTAAAAATTTCATCTTGACGAGAAAAATGAAAATCGTTGAAAGATGAATGTCCTGGTTTAATTCTAAAGTCTACCTCTGGTTTTCTTTGTTCAGCACATTTTAATCTTATTGGCCTGGTTTAGGTTTTAAAACTATAGTTAGTTTTGTCAGTTCTTGAATTTGTAAACTGAATTTTGGAAGAATGAGTTGTGACTTAAAAATATTAATTTGCTTCAGAGGATGAAACTCGTAATGGGATAGGATGTTTTAGTTACTGGGAAGAGCTACCGTGTGGAATATATAATTTGCATGTGGATGTTTCAAAACCAAGCGGCTATCTGGTAGCTGAAGTCAAAATGCATGGATACGTAAACTCAATGTTAACTGAACTTATCAAGTGGGATAGAATTTCTGTTGAACCAAGCTCTGAAGACCTGAAAACATGCTGTCATAAGTTATCCAGGGGGCAACGTTCTATACATCTGGCTTCTTCAGAGTCAGTTCCAAATGAAACAGGTGATTAGTGTATAATAGTGTGCGAAAGTTCTACTTAGCTATTCGGTGCTTTAATTTTTAGCTATTCAGTACTTTAATTTCTGTCATACATTCTAGTTCCTTACTTCCTTTTGCATTGTTTGGGAACTCTGCTCTAGCATCTTTGTCTTACTAGGTTTAGGCATGTCTTCATTATGCAGGCTCAGTTCAATCTGCAATTCCGGTTCCAGCTCATAGTTTGCTTGATGCTTTAAAGGAATCTGTGTTACGACGTACTTCGTTGTATAATGTTTATCAGGTATGCAACCTAACTGGAACTGGTGATGAGTTTTGTCATTGATATTGTGTATTCTATAACTGTTGGCTACATCAAGGATAAATGTTCTTCTTGGTTTGTACTTTGTCAAGACTGTGAAGACAGTTTCAGCTGTGGGGATTTCTCTTACATTTTGGATCAATGAATTTGAGTCTTAAATTATATTCTTATTAACTTCACCATGGGGCTGTCTCTATGACTAAACATTGTGTAAGGGACCTAGGTGCAAAAATTATTGAAGGAGTAGACAGCAAAGACGAAGAGATGGTTGGAGACAAGGGACCCCTGGTACAGGAGCAGAAAAGAATGAACACTCGGAAGAGTGAGAGAAAAAGACTCCCTAACAGAAAATGGGGTGATTACATGAGGCTAGGCTGATTTAAGGAGAGAGGGGAAGATGTCTTGGGTTATTGGGTGTTGTTGAATTGGGTCCCCTAAATTTCTCCATCTTATCCTCTCTAAATTTTCTGTTATCGGTGACTTTTCAGTACCCAGCTTTTGTTGGGGCGTGGAACAATAATTTACATCATTATACAATAACTTTCTATATTCTATTTTAGTGCATTGGTGCTTTCATTGCTACCATGGCTGAAAACAGCGGCCTCAAAGAACTCCAGCATAATACGAAGAAAATGCTTGAAGCTTTGGAACAAATCCACATGGAGGGGGGAAAAGAGAAGAAGCAACTGCGAAAAGATTTCCAGGTCTGGATTTGGCTATTGCAGAGTTGTTTGAGTGGATAAACGATGGTGGTTCAAACTCGGGCAACCACGATTTGGACAACCAGCCCTTTCATGTTTGAAGCGTCAAACTAGACTTCCCTTGCGTAGATGGTAGTGAAATGCTACAATGGACTTCAAAGCAAAACAGTTCTTTGAATATTATCATACCCCAAAGGCTCAATGGTTAATAATCGCTGGTATTCACAAGGACAAAGATGTTGTTCCCTGGTTCCAAATGATGCTTAAAACCAACACGTTTCAATCTTGGGCAGCTTTTATCAAAGTTTTGGAAACAGAATTTGGCCCTTCACTATATGAATGCCCATGCTCTAGTTGTCCCAGACAAGATCGGGAGTGAATTTTACCATTCATTCACCACTCTATCTAATAGGGTCGCGGTTTATCAACTGATACACTGTTGGATTGTTTTTTGAGTGGGTTAAAACCCAAAACCAGATGTGACGTCATTGCACAAGGCCCAAAATCTGTCTCGAAAGCAGTGGCTCTTGCCAGACTCTATGAAGAAAAGTACACTCCCAACAGTCATTCCTATGTTCCTGCTAATCGGTTCCCAAACAAAAACAACACCCTTCCCCCTCTACTTCCAACACCAAACACTAAACCCTTGACCTAGGCGAACCACAATGTCAATGTAAAACGCATGACCCCAGTAGAGATATAAATTTGATGAGAAAAAACTTATGTTACAAATGTGATGAAAAATTTACTTCGAACCATAAGTGCACAAACCGACACATGTTTTTAATACATGTCCAAGAAGTTGAGGAAGAAACCTTGGAACCAGACCCTCCTCCCAGTGTAGAATCGATAGTGGAGCCCGAGCACCAGCTCTCTTACAATGCCCTAAAAGGAGCCAATGGGTTGGGCATATTGAAATTTCAGGGACAGTTGCAAGTGTCATGTTACATATCTTTGTGGACAGTGGCAGCAATGACAATTTTACTCAATTAAGAATTGCTCATTTCCTGAAGCTACCTATTGAACCAACACCTCAGTTCAAAGTTTTGGTAGGGAATTGCAATACGTTGACTGGCAGAAAGGTGTGTAAGGGACATACAATTGAAGATACAACATCATGTTTTATATTTATCTGCTTTCTTATTACCTATAGCGGGAGTAGATTTAGTGTTGGGAGCCTCTTGGTTGGCCACGTTGGGACCTCATGTTATTGATTTTAGCACCCTCCCTTACATTAAAGTTCTATGTCAATGGACAGTTTGTCATGTAGGGTCAAAAATCTGATAGTCTGGTGCAGTTGGAATTTCATTAGTTGCTAAGATGGCAAAACACGCATGCTATTGACCAAGCATTCATGCTGCAATGTCAGCCAGCTGAATTAGAGCAGAACCAGTTACAGGGGACAGTCCAAGTCATGTTGAACTAGTTGGCTCGTTTATTGCATACATACCGAAAGGTTTTTGATTTTCCCATCGGGCTACCACCAGAAAGAGATCAAAATCATGCAATCAATTTAATGAATGGGGCTAATCTAGTAAAAGTACGACCATATCGATACCCTCATAATCACAAAAGCCAGATTGAAGAAATGATACAAGAAATGCTATAGGAAGGTCTTATACAACCAAGCAATAGCCCATTTTCTTCTCCAATTGTTTTGATTAAAAAAAAAGATGGGACATGGCGATTCTTTTCCAATGACAACTGTGGATAAATTACTAGATGAATTATATGGTGCTCAATACTTTTCTAAGCTGGATTTAAGTTTTGCTATCACCAACTTTGAATGAAGCCAGAAGATATGATGAAAACAACTTTTAGGACACACCAAGGGTATTATGGTGGCTAGTTATGTCATTTGGCTATCATAGAATTCCAAGACACCACATCTTTCACCTTCGAATACATATTAATGAAAGCATTGCAAACAAAAACATCACTTTCCAATCCATGCTTTATACATACAAATGAACCAACATCTCACAAACAACATCATTCACTTGTTCACAAATAGGAACCACACTTGCTACCGTAAAAGTATCCATCTTCACCCCTTCAACCTTCATCCTACCTAAAACACCCAATGCCTTGGTTGCTTTCCCATTTTGAAGAAACCGCAAAATCATTGCAATCCAAAATCCTACATCTTGGATGGGCATATCATCAAACACCTTGTGGGCAACATCCACAACACTAAACCTTGAGTACAAATGGATCAAGGAAGCAACCACATACACATCACCAACCCATTCAAACACGATTCAATCACTAGGATACACGTCATGCTATTGGTACTAGGGTTCAATCACTACCCATGAAAAACTCACACCCACCCACTCAAACAATTCCGAGAAGATTAAAAACAAGAAGAAACCCTAATAGCAATGTGAGAAATGCTTTCTAAAATACTTCTATAGCACTTGGACGACTACAGAAAGCGAAAATAAAAAGAACCTTAGCAGCAACTTAGTAGAACCTAATAAGGATAAAAATATAATTTCATTTTCTTAACGGGTAGATACCTATGGATACATGTAGTATGATACTTGATCTCAACCCGTTAATGAGCAGGTACTAAATTACACGCTACTTGCTACCCGCTACCTGTGGGTACCAACAGATTTTATGTGCGAATACCTACGGGCGCGGGTATTTTTGCCACCCTAATACTATCTAAAGTGTATGTGTGTGTATACTGTATAAAAAGTAATAATTGAATTTAAGAAAAAGATATTGAGGTGAATGAGAGAAATGAATACTAAAAGAAGAAAGTGGGTTCGGGAAGGGAGGTGAAAGGGGAAAGTGGGGAGGAAATAGCTAAACTTATATTGTCTAGGTAAGCAATATTTTTCGTTCCCTTTTTAATTATCTTTATGACCAATCTTATTCAGTCATTTATTGGACAAATATTTTAACGAATAAATTTTGTAGGGAATTCAAACCACAAAAAAGTAAATGTTACAAAACTTTTAGAATTTCTTCACTGATAAAATAGGTAATGCTTATTCAAGGACACTTAACCAAATGTATTGAAAATCTGTTGCAATGCTGCGTTCTGAAACTAAGTTTGATTACTTTAGTGTGTTTCCCAAATGCAAATTGCAACTACTAAATGTCTCCACTGACATCTTTAGATATTTTTTTGACCGAAATGTATTCAAGTGGTCAATGGATTCTATTGTATGTTTTGTTACCTTTAGAATATCTATTTGCTTCTGGATCTCTTCTGTAGCTTTTGTAGCCAAAGAATTTGAACTCTTGAATGCCCTTTGAATTTATTTGAGCTGTTCTTGTTGTGTTTTTGTATACCTACTTTTTTATTATAAATTTGCTTCTCAGTTTTGAAGGACAATGTAACTCTTCAATTTCCTTCCCCATATTAATCCACATGTTTTTTCAACATTGAGTATCTGATCTATTTTCTTATCATAATTTTTATTTCTATTAAACATTATTTCTTAAGATTAATTTCAATTTTAAATCTGAATGTTGAAACATTATTGTATCAAATTGAAATTCTTTCATTTTATTGATAAATTGAAGTTTACTATTATTGTAATCATCTCAAAATTAGAAGAACATAATTTCTATCTGATAGAACTACGAATCACAACTGTAAACAAGACTGTCTTGTAAATCTTTATTGCTTATTTCCAATTCTGCACCTACCAACGTAATAGATATAGAAATGATATAGAATGTTACAAAGTGTTTCCCCCACTGAGGTTGTTGGAGAGAACCTCACTCTCCACAATTCTCCTAAACTTTTTCCTTTCAAAAAAACTCCCCGCCCACAATTAACCCTGGATTATTTATAATAGTCCGTTACAGCTGGCACATTCCCTTATTTATTTCTTCTCTTATATACTATACCAAACTCATCACTCTTATTGAGTCCATGACATACATCTGATATATACACTTGTATTGATTGGAAAATTTAAGAAACGAGCATAGGCTATTCTAGGAAACAAGAGATTGTGGGATTGATATGCTAGTAATAAAACCAAGATACAACCAATATACAAAACTAAAACCAATAGGAATAAAATCTGAAACTTCGTAACATATTGACAGAATAAACTCTAAAACTTCCTAAAATATCTCAACAAATCTTAATCTAATTTGAATTTGATTTTTAAAAATTTTGCACTTCATATAAAAAATTATGTTTGTTGATTTATAGTTTCCTCTCAAATTCGAAAATTGTTCTCTCTAATTTATTCATATCTATTAGTGAAAACATATAATATTCTCTTTGAATTTTTTATTTATAATATATAATTAAATTTAATGTGCTTGTGCAATGTGTGAGAAACTTGATAGTGTTATTCGTATACATGATAGGACTCTTTGGATTTGTTTGCTTAGGCAGTGACATCTGGTATCAGACAAGAGGAATTTGTTCCAGTTGCAATTCTTTTCTCAGGTGGCCTGGACTCCATGATACTTGCAGCATTATTGGATAAATGCTTAGATCCCAATTGTGAGTGCGTCTAAATTGACTTAATTTGCCAACTCTAATGTTGATTATAATTTATATGAAACAAACTTTATTGGTTTCTTTTTCGGTTTTGAGATGTATAAAGTAGGAGAATTGGTTGAGTTGACATGTTCCAATTCGAGAGCCTTCTGTTAATGTGTTTTTTAATATATTTTGGATTGACAGATGAAATCGATCTACTTAATGTAAGTTTTGATGGTCATTTAGCTCCTGATAGACAATCTGCGAAAGCAGGGTTGAATGAACTAAGAAGAGTTGCACCTTCCAGGAAGTATGCTATCTACTGTTTTTCTATCTGTTTATTTTTTGTTCCTTTGTTTATGTATTTGTTTTTTGTTTGAATGCATAAATTGACTTTTTCTCTCTATCCTTTTCAAGACTAAATTGTTATCTAAATTAGTCTGTTCTTAAAGTATAATTGAGTAATATTAAGTTTAGGTTTATAGTGTTGACTTTACCAATTTATTTGGTATGAAAATTTTGAAAAAATAGAGGAAATTTTACTTATTATCAGATTAAATATTTCAACAGGAAACTATATCCTGTTAAATGGTCTGAAACATATTTCTATTGTTATGTGGGGCACAGAAAATGGTCTGAAACATCTTTTTCCTGTTGGAAGATATTTCACTTAGGATAATGTATTTTCCATTGTTGTGGGGTATTAAATATGGTCTGAAACATCTTTTTAGTGTGATAATGATAGAAGTGGTTAAATCTATACAAAAAGATTGCTGTAAAGATCTCCTAGGAAATGTTCCCAAACAGAGATGAAATTTGATGCAAACATAAAGGAAAAAGAGACACCCGGTACAGAAAGAGAAATCACGAGCTCACCAAGAATTCAAGAGCCTAGTTTCTCCCAACTAATTACCCACTGATTGACTCGTCCCCAGCACCCATTTTTCTTCTTGTCCACTAAATGGGAGGCCCTTTAACTAACAGAGTAGAGCTGTAAGTGAGACAGATAATATTGATACCTAATTCAACCTAAAATTAATGATATTTTATTACACAACAATTCTTGAATGAGAATTTCAATTTTTTATGAAAATAGGAAAACAATACAAATGACGGGACCTTGCTAAAACCCATAAAGAGATTCTTAGAATCTAAAGTAAGACAAATTAAGTCTGTCTTTAGTAAAATCAACACCAGTAGTAATAACCACCTGTTTTGAAGTCTCCACTTGATAGACTTCTTTGGTCAAGAAGTCTATCTACCACTCAAAACAGCACACGCACACACAAAATACTGGATAAAAACAGTACTGTATATTACTCTGATGAACAAGAATACAAAAGTACAGTACCCAACTCACAAGGGAGCACTCTCCCTCCACAGGAACAACCTCCTGTCAAGTTAGGAGGGGCTACCTATTTTTCGAAGGTGGATTTGAAGGCCGGGTATCACCAAATCCGTATGGCTGAGAAGGATATAGAGAAGATGGCGTTCCGCACGCATCAGGGGCATTACGAATTCGTGGTGATGCCTTTCGGACTCACCAACACGCCGGCGATGTTTCAGAGCACTATGAATCACCTCTTCAAGCCCTATTTGCGGAAGTTCGTGCTAGTCTTCTTCGACGACATCCTCGTTTACAGCAGAACCTGGGATGAGCACTTGGAGCATGTCGGAAAGGTCCTGGAAACGTTGAGTCGGGACCAGTGGGTGGCCAATCGGAGGAAGTGTGAGTTTGGGCAAACCCACGTCAAATACTTGGGACATATCATCTCGCATAGAGGCGTGGAGATGGACGATGAAAAGATAAAGGCGGTGGTGGATTGGGAACGGCCAAAATCGGTAAAGAGTTTAAGGGGATTTTTGGGTTTGTCGGGGTATTATCGGAGGTTTATTAGGGATTATGGCAAAATCGCCAGACCTCTAACGGAACTGTTGAAAAAAGGGGGCTTTGCTTGGAACGAAAGGGCAGAAGAGGCATGGCAAACACTGAAGACCGCCGTCACGACAGCCCCGGTGTTGTCCTTACCCGACTTTCAGCAACCTTTTCACATTGAGTGTGACGCGTCGGGTAAAGGAGTGGGTGCTGTACTAATGCAAGAAAAAAAACCAATCGCTTTTTTAAGTAAGGCTTTATCTGAAGGAACTCTCAGCAAATCCATTTACGAGAAGGAATTGATGGCTCTAGTGTTAGCTATCCAGCATTGGCGTCCTTACCTACTGGGGCAGAAATTCATAGTGCACACTGACCAGAAGAGCCTCAGGTATCTATTGGAGCAGAGGATCACGACGCAGAATCAACAAAACTGGATAGCTAAACTATTGGGATATGATTTTGAAATTATGTATAAGACTGGGATGACCAACCGAGCTGCTGATGCTTTGTCTCGAATAGCAGAGGGTGAAAAAGAAGAAAACAAGGAACTGACGGTGATAGCCAGACCTTACTGGCAAGACTTTGAAGAAGTCACGAGGGAAGTGGAGGACAACGCGAGGCTACGAAAGGTGATTGAAGAGATTAAGGGAGATCCAAATTCTCACCCGGCATACACGGTGGAACATGGAAGGTTGCATTACAAAGGGAGGTTAGTATTGTCTGCAAAGTCTTCGTGGTTACCTAGGCTAATGGCAGAATTCCACCAAACTTAAACGAGGGGCCACTTGGGAGTCTACAGGACATACCGGAGGATAGCCCAGTCCTTATTCTGGGTCGGGATGAAGAAGGATATTACAGAGTTTGTGGCTAAATGTCTTGTGTGTCAACAACACAAGTATTTAGCATCATCACCGCAAGGATTACTACAGCCCTTGCCAATTCCAAATGCAGTTTGGGAAGAGCTTAGCATGGACTTCGTGGTACGGCTGCCTAAGTCCCATGGGTACGACGCTATCTTGGTGGTGGTGGACCGTTTGAGCAAGTATGCCCATTTCATACCGCTCAAACACCCTTATTCGGCAAGGATGGTGGTTGATATTTTCATGAGAGAAGTAGTAAGATTGCATGGGATCCCAAAATCCATCGTGACCGACAAAGACCCATTATTCTTGAGCATGTTCTGGAATGAATTGTTCAAAAGCCAGGGGACGCAGATGAAAATGAGCACCGCATATCACCCAGAAACGAACGGGCAGACGGAGGTGGTGAACCGTATTCTGGAAGGTTATCTCAGGTGTTTCTGTTCAGAGCAGCCTCGAGGTTGGATGACAGTGCTATCATGGGCGGAGTTTGGGTATAACACGAGTTACCAAGGAGCAATAAGGTGCACACCTTTTGAGGTTGTCTACGAGAGAGCGCCTCCTTCTTTGCACAGATTCATTCCTGGTGAATCTTTGGTAGAGGCCGTGAATCAAGAACTTCAAACCAGAGACGAAGCTCTGAAACAGTTGAGGTTCCATTTGGAACGAGCGCAAGATCTTATGGTGCAACAAGCTAATAAAAAGAGACGGGTCGCGAATGTGAATGTGGGGGACTGGGTGTATTTGAAGATACGACCCCATAGACAAACCTCAATGCCAACTAGACTCCACCCAAAGCTGTCAACAAGGTATTTTGGACCTTTTCGGGTGATTCAGAAGGTGGGGGAGACAGCTTGTAAATTGCAGTTGCTAGAGACAGCTCGAATCCATCCAGTGTTTCATGTTTCCCAGGTGAAGAAGGCAGTAGGAGAGCACTAGGTGGAGAAGGACCTACCGCCTGATCTGCAGGTAGAAGGGCCTTCGTTTTGGCCCGTGAATGTTTTGGGAAGGAGGCAGCGGACAGAAGGAGGAAGCGTGCCGCAACTGCTAGTGGAGTGGCAACAAGGAGGACCAGAGGGGGCCACCTGGGAAGAAGAAATAACCATCCGAGAACAGTACCCCGATTTCAACCTTGGGGACAAGGTTGATGATCAAGGGGAGGGTATTGATAGGGATAAGAATAAGAAAGGATGGGTAGTTTATGAGAGGAAAAATAGGAGGAAATGAATATAACAAACTAACAGTTAGGACAGTTAGGACAGTTTTGGTGAGATTGTAAGATTGTATAAATAGCGGCTGAGTAGAAGGGATTGGGGGACTTTTGATTGCCTAGTTGCTTACGGGTTTATACCTGTGGAAGAGGGTTATGCCTCTGCGTTTGATTGTACAGATACTATACTTGTGAATAACATTCAGACTTCTCTTTCTTTCTGTGTTTCTTGGGGAGGAAGGGAGTCTTGAAAGTGGGTTCCCAATTTAGGAACCTAACAACGTCTTATAAGTTCTAAAAATTTCTAAGACCTCTTGTTCCACAGATTGCCATAGAACAACACATAATTGAAAATCAAGTTTTTGCCACTAGGGTTCCTCTTCATCTGGTAATGTAGAAACATCTTGTTCAAGATGATTATGGTATCCTTGATTAAGAAACCATAACTCCACAAAAGAAGACCAAGATAAATAATTTTTCCAGGTGAGCTTTGCAGAAGTAATGTTAGGAGTAGCAAATAGAGGAGTTATTCCAAAACCCGAAGCCATTCCAAAGAAAACTGCAAGGAGAGAAAAACTTGGGATTCCAAAATAAACTTGAGGGAAAAAACCTTAGATATGAGCCACGACCAACGAAACAGAAAAACCGGGACCACAACATGCCTAGGAGGTTTTGGTCAGACGACTAGTAGTGGCGCGATGAGATTCTGACACTGAGAAGATGGCGCGTGACAGCGGACAATGGTGGTGAATGGCAAAAAGAAAGCAATGCCGATGACAAACAATGAAGACCCATTGGTCTGACTCTTGATACCAACTTAAAGAGCTTAGAAGTAACTAAAAGCAATTTATTTTCTATTAAGTCATTGTTACAATTTACCACTCTATTTATAGAGTACAATAGTGCATAATACAAAAGGTCTAGAAACTCTAAAACCCTAACCTAATAGTTGGGTTCCCCTACATAAATAATAATAATAAAGAACATTACATTTCAACAAATACATTAGTAGAATCTTCTCAATCCATACCAATTTTCCCGAGAAGCAATCTCAATAGCATGCATGACCCCTAGTAATTCAGGTTCAAGAGAACTATGACGAGAAAGAAAAATTGAAAAACAACATATAATCCCAGACCTATAGTCTTTGAAAAGTCCTGTGCACATTATAGAAGGATAGTTAATGGCCACTCCATCTAAGTTACACTTTACCCAATAACAAGGTGGAGGTAATCAATTTACTTGAGTGATCTTTGGAGCAAGTTTCAACTTGATCACCAAGTTATTTTTAATTATTGGTGTGGGAGATCCCACACCTACTATAATAAATATAACCAAATTGTAGTATCTCCTTCCCACCCTTGAGATTTCCAATCCTTAGTATGATAAAGTGTGTTAGAAATTCTACATCTAGTCATATGACGAACTTATAGTATATAAGTATCTTATCTTATAGTTGGTTTTCTTGGATTGAATTAGACTTTAGATCGATTCTGTAATAATTAGAATAATCAAATGACCTAATTCAGTAAAGTTTTCCTAACAACCCACAATACTATAAGTTCGAAAACTTAAAAAATTTCCAATCTCTGTGATATTATATTACTAATGATCTTACCATCCAATTTCCATTCCTCATTCTTTACTCCTTTAATTAGTGTCAAATTTATGATGCTTATGTTAAGCGTAAATTGTATATATCAAAATTTATTGTGTTAGTTTTTAGTTTCATGTATAGGCTTTAGCATATGGTAGGTATGTTTACTGCAAAAAAAAAATACAGTGTCAATTACACAGATTAAGTGATAACATTCGGCAGTATTAAGGAGAACAAAAAAGGGTATCCTTTTCTTGGCTTCATGAACAGTCCATTTCTCACTTGCTCTGTTAGGATGAATCTCTTATTCTTTTATTTTACTTATTATATATATATATATACATATTCTGTCATTAGACTGGATTCTTATGTAGTTAAGTTGTGATCATGAACCTATTTATTATATGTTCTTTATGTCGAAATATCTATTTTTAGCATCTATCATATTCAGGTGAAAGGGTGCTACAATTTATAATTTCAGGTGGAGACTTGTGGAAATTGATGCTGACTTGTCAGACTTGGTGTTCGAAACTAGTCATGTTGTGTCACTCATAAATCCTGCCAACACCTACATGGTAATACTTAATCTTCTGGATCTGAAATTTACAATTTTTATTCTGTCATGTATATGCATTTTTAGTTATTTTAGGTTGATTTGAGTAATTTAATGTCCAACCAACTGCAACTGCACCTGTTGAGAGGGGATATGCATATCATCAAGGTAGTCATTAGCATGTCTATGATACCGGGAAGCATTTCCCAATTTAGTTATTTGGAGATAATACGAGATCCCGTGGAAGAGAGAGAGTGAATTGAAGAAAACATTCAGATGTTGACAAGTGATAAGAAGAGAAATTTAACTATGCCAGTTTCTAAGGATTTAGGTACTGAACATTACAATTATTGGAACCTTGTTAAAAGTTTTTGAATTATATGTACTTAACTTAAACTAGGTGATATATTGACATAGGGATATGTTGGTTTTCATGCTGAATGAAATCGTTTTTTTTTATTCTAATTTTAAAGTGACTGAAACTTTTGAGAGGTGAAATGGAAATTTTAGACTGCAAACCATCTTGATGAGTTTTTTAACATCTTTAGTATTTCTAATTGATGATTGGTCTGTACTTTTTCAGGACCTTAATATTGGAATAGCTTTATGGCTTGCTTCTGGTGGCAATGGATGGGTCTCTGATGCAAATATATCTGATAATGACAACAATCATGTACGGATTAAGTATAAGTCGAATGCAAAGATTCTTCTAGTTGGTTCTGGTGCTGATGAGCAGTGTGCTGGGTATGGGAGACACAGGACAAGTTATAGACGTGGAAGGTACTAATATAAAAACGGTAAATTATGTTTTAGTGTTATTCTTGTCCTTATGTTTATGATGAACAATGATAAGATCATTTTTTATTCTTTCATCTTTGTTTAATAAATAAAACGTTTCCTTGCCCATTTTAGTTTTAGTAGGATCTTATAATATTCAGCTCAATTGTTGAGTCTTGTATCTTTGCATCATTCAATTAAATTTAAGAAATTTCCTAAGATTTAAAATGTTGTTCTGCAAACTTTGTTTCCAAAAATATTGAAACCCCTAATTTCTTCTGCTAAGATACGAGCATTATCATTTTCTTTCTCTAAAAATATTTGTCCTTGATATCGTTTCTCAATTTTCAAAGTTCCATCAAATTGCTCTTTTTTTGTTAAGTTGAGAGAATTAAATGTTATTTTAATCCTAATTTTGGGACATCTTTGACAACATTTTGCATGATTGGGGAACTAAATTGATGACACTTTACATTATTGAAGGACTAAATCGTTGACTTAACATTTCAAGGACCTCATGACCCTTATATCCCTAGAAGATGAAATCAGGTTTGACCTAAATAATTTATTGAACTGACAGTGCTTGATGGATAATTTATTTAGAAGATTTGTCTTTTTTTTAAGGTGGTAGTTTAATGCCATTCTACCAAGAGAAGCAATATTATTGAAATTCTTAGGTTAATTGATTGTTAACAGTACTGATTAATTGTGGAATATATGTGCATTATCGTCTAATGTATTCTGATGACATACTATGCCTTGATCAGTTGGCTGGGGCTACACGAGGAAATGAGACTCGATATGCAAAGAATTTGGAGAAGAAATTTAGGGAGAGATGATAGGTGTATTGCTGATAATGGGAAGGAGGTAATAATCAAAGTCTATTAAAAATCAATATGGACCTTCCAGTTATTTATCTTTCCCCCCTTTTTGGCTCTTGTTTCCTTTAGGCTAGATTTCCATTCTTGGATGAAGATGTTATAAGGCTGCTGCTCAATATGCCGTTGTGGGAAGTTGCCAACCTTGATCAACCTATCGGCATTGGTGATAAAAAGATCTTAAGAGAGGTATTACTATTTTTTTTTTGAGTTTGGATGATTTGCTTACTTTCTCCTTTTCAACTGTTTTATTGTTGGACATTTGATGGCTGGCTGAACCGACACTTGGTCAATATCTTTTTGTATAACTTTGACTGAGCAGAATCTAGTGATACGAGTGTTTAGTACGTAATAAGAGCAAAATTGTATGCCTTGAGGATAAGAGCTGCTGCCAGAGCTGAATCCACAATCCATATACATGAGAAAAAAAGAAAAAAGCTTCTGCTGTAGATCCGACAGGAAATTTATTTTCCCTTAATATGTTTTACATCAGTGTCGGTGTACCAGTGGAATGTATTTGACACCCCCCAGTCCTGCTTATATTTTATAAGATATAGTACTGATATTTGTTCTTGTTTCTAGTGACTACACGGATTTGATGTTCAAATTTACCAAATTATTTCCCGTTTTATTTGAAGTGGCCCCCAAAAAAATGAATTGCCGAACTTGAATCTCATAGTTGATATTTCTTGAAGGTTGCCAAATTGCTTGGTTTATATGAAGCAGCAGTTCTGCCAAAACGAGCAATTCAGGTGTGTGTTCTGAATCTTTACACTTGAATTTACTTGATGAAGAACTCGGTGGATTCCTAAAACTACGTAAAACCATCACGGGAAAGACAATGTTGTTTGACGAGTTGCAATTTTTAAATATAAACCTTCTAGGTTACTTCTAATTTTAATCCACTATATAGGATAGTTGATCCATTCATAGGACGCTTTAGCCTTGGCTTAGGAAAATGATAAAAGAAAGAAGAAATAAGAAAGATACTAGAAAGTGAAAAGAAACTAGGGAAAAATTCTAGCAGAATAACATTGCCTTTTCACTAGATTTCTAGTTAGATGTCAAATTGTCAATAGAGCTTATGCATTGTAAAATGTGTTGCTATGAGTATAGTGGAAACCGATTTTTTATTTTATTTTATTTCACATGCATTTTTATTAGAAAGTAACGTATCAGGAAATAATAGCTAAACCAGAGGAGAGGGTGCAGCTTCCCTAGATGAGTGAATGAATACAATTTGTTTATATGTGGAACATATGTTTGTAGTCATTGATTTGTGTTTGTATTATGTTTGTTGTTGTAGTTTGGTTCAAGAATTGCAAGGGAATCAAATCGGAAAAATTTTGGAAGCAATCGAGCAGCAAATCAGGCATCAGCTGGCAGCGTAAGGATTAATAGGAAATCTAGTTTTTATTGATTTCTTTTCGCACGCGGAACGCGTATTATTTTCTATTCAAAATCATTAATATATTTAGTTGCTTGAAATTACTTGCCTGTAAGGGAAACAAGAGATCTATTTCTCAAGTGTTTTTTTTATCATATATGTAAACATGACCTTTCAAATAACCAATTAAAAAATGATTGAAAATTGGTTCAAACTATAATTTTTTTTTAATTGAATGATCTGGTTCGGATTTTGGCTTAAATTTTATTCAGATACTATTGGTAATTAACAAAGAGAGTTTTTTAAAGTTGTTTTTATAGTTTTATTGTATTATACTTGTTTCGGTAAAAAAATTGGGTGTCTTTTCTTAAAGACAAAAATAATCAGAATTTTGACTCAGTTTATGACTTTTTTTATTTGTCTCTTGGTCGTAAAAGTTAGTATTTTATTTATAGGTAAAATGATTACAAATAGTTTCTATTGCCAATATCAAAAGAACGTTTTAAGTTACAAAGATAAAAACAAAAATAATTACAAAAAATTAGAAGGTAATAATTACATAATTATAGATAAAACATAAAAGATCTCTAATATCTTGACTTGTTCTGACTTTTTATCGATCTTTTAACATGACTCATTAATGATCCATGGTTAGGTTCATGAAGATACCATGGTCAGGTTCATGAAGATACGTAGTAGTCACCCTAAATTACAAAAGCAAAAGCAAAATATAATTAAAAGAAAAGTTAGAAGGTAGCAATCACATTACTATAAAATAAAAGATAAAAGCAAAAAAGTATCTTTCACTTGTCGTGGTTTTTCATCGATCTTTTGACACATATAAGGTTGGTATTTCTTAATATGACCCATGAATGATCTGTGGGTAGATTCATGGAGATACATGATGGTCCTTCAATGTATTTCAACCTAAATTACAAAGATAGAAACATAAGATAATTACAAAAAGAAATTAAAAGGTAGCAATCACATGATAATAAGATAAAAACATAAAAGATCTCTAATATCTCGTCTTGTCTTGGCTTTTCATTGATTTTTTGACACATAATGTTGGTCTTTTTTATCATGACCCATGATTGATACGTGGTTAGGTCCATGGAGATACGTGGTGGTCCTTCAACGTATTTTAGCCTACATTACAAAGTTAAAAATAAAAGATAATTACAAAAAAAATTAGAAAAGTAGCAATAGTATCATTATAAGATAAAAGATAAAAATATAAAGGGTTAAATATGCTTTTAGTCCCTATATTATCAAACTATTTTGGTTTTAGTCCCTCTTTCAAAGTAAGGTACATTTTAGTCATCCTCCTTAAGGAAACTTTGATTTTAGTTCTCTAAAACTAACATAGTTAAAAACCAGCTGAGGTGGCTAATGGTAGATTGACACAATTTTTTTTTGAGCTGAGTCAGTGTTTCTCACCTTTTCTTCCTCTCTCTCCCTTGTCTCTTCCTTCCACGCCGCGACACAGTCTCCGATGAATCAGCCGCCGCTAGCCGCGAGGTGAGTGTCCCCAGCGTCACCGATCACCGCTAGGGTCGCCACCGGTCGTAGTCAGCGCCACTACGTCAGATTACTCTCTTTTCTCTTCTTTACGCACAATCAGGGATACCCTTTCCCTCTCCTTCGAGTTCAAGACTGCCGCCACCCACGAAGCTAACCGCCGTTGCCTCTGCCAAACCGATCGTCGTTCATCGTCGAATGCAGCGCCCGCCGTGGCGTCGGATCCTTCCTCAGCTTGATTTTTCCCCGCCGCGATTCTCGAACGTTAGAGATTTGGGAATCTGCTATTGAACGCTGCTATCCTAGAGGTGATTCGATTGGGACTCCGCTTTGGGCTTGGGGGTTTCATTGTTGGAGGTCAGGAAATGAGTGAGTGTGATTTTGATGATCAGTGAACTTGGAGTTTTTTTGCTGATCAGTTGTGGTTGAGGGTAGGAAAGAAAAAAGGTGAAAGTGGGTTCAGACAGCCGCAACAGGAGCCGGAGCAGAAGCAGGAGCCCAATGGACCGTAAGATCCGATCTGATCGATTTTCTTACCGTGATGCACCTTACAAGAGAGATTCACGTCGGGGTTTCAGCCGAGACAATTTGTGCAAGAACTGCAAGTGGCCTGGTCATTATGCAAGGGCTTCTCGAGCATTAGAGTTATTCTGCAACTGCAGTGCCTTCTCTGTTGCATTTACCAAAGCAAGATTATAGTTATTCCGCAACTACAGTGCCTTCTCATTCGTACATTCAGCTGCTATGTGGCCTTGCTTATAACAGTTGTTGCACAACCTTAAGTCTCCTGGAGGCATTGGAGGAGAGGTGCATTCCCTAGCACGGTGTCCAGCTTTACCACAGGTATGGCAAATTCCCTCATTTGGACAATTATTGGCCATGTGGCCAGGTTCTTTACAGTTCCAGCAGAGTGACTTTGTGGTAGGTGAATTTGGAGCTTGGCGGTGGGGAGGTTGGGTGGAAGATGGAAGGAAGAGACGAGGGAGAGAGAGGGAGAAAAGGTGAGAAACACTGACTCAGCGCAAGAAAAATTAATTGTGCCAGTCTACCGTTAGCCACATCAGCTGGTTTTTAACGGTGTTAATTTTGAAGGATTAAAATCAAAGTTTGCTTAAGGAGGAGGATTAAAATGTACCTTACTTTGAAAGAGGGACTAAAACCAGAACCGCTTGATAGTATAAGGACTAAAAACATATTTAACCCAAATATAAAATATCTCTAATATCTCGACTTGCCTTGGCTTTTCATTGATCTTATGACACATATAAGGTTGATCCTTCTTAATGTTGTATAGTGTTGACAAAAATCATTATCAAAATTTCTTAAGGCGTGTAGATCACACTATCCTTAAGAACTTATCCATGGTGTGTTGGACAAGTTGATAACAGTTGAAAAACTGTTATTTTCATGATTAAAATTGACACTAAAAGCAACCTTTACACTTAGAAACTAGCTTGAAATCATGCTTTTCTTCATATTTTTAGAAATAAGAGAGCTGGACAGGTTTATGCTTGATTTCAGTGTTTTTGTGCAGGTTTTAAGGTGAATTTGGTGAAAGAAGTGAAGAAGGAGAGAGATGAAATCAGAAAAGACAATAAAAAGTG